TTACCTTATTTCATTGTTACTTTATCACAGTGTTATCATAATTAACTTTGAAACAAACATGCTATGGTGGGTTAACCCTTGCATCAAATCATGGTGGACTTGGCAGTGCTAGGTTAATGGTTGGACAGAATGATCTTAAAGGTCTTTTCCAACCTAAATGATTCTATGAACCTCAGCTGGCTATCAGATAGCCACACAGTCACTTTCACTCTCCTTCCTAAAGAGGATGGGGGTGGGAGGGTGTAATAGGATGGAAAAGCTTGTGGGTAAAGATAGCAAGATCACTTACCAATTACTGTCACAGGCAAAACAGACCCAACTTGGGGAAAAATGATTTAATTTATTGCCAATTAAAAATAAAGTAGGATGGCAAGAAACAAACCCAAAAAAACTAAAACACTTTCCTCTCCCTTCACACCCTACCCTTCTTCCCAGTCTCAACTTCATTCCCAACTCTTGTACTTCCTTGCCCCAAACAGGAGGGATATGAAATTGGTGGTTGCAGTCAGTGCAAAAATTTGTCTCTGCCACTCCTCCTCACACTTTCCCCCTGCTCCAGCACAGGTCCTCTCCACAGACAACAGTCCTTCAGGAAAAGACTGCTCCAGCATGGGGTCTTCTCCATGGGCTGCAGTTCACTCCTGGAGCCTGCTACATTGTGGTCCTTTCCACAGGCCACAGATCCCATCACTGGCCCGCTCCCACTCCTCTCCATAGGCTGCAGGGAAATATACCTGCTATAGCACCTCGAGCACATCCTACCCCTCCTTTTTTTTCCTGACCTTGCTGTCTGCGAACTTGTTTCTTACACTTCCACTCCCTTTCCCCTTTTCTTACACACACTGCTGCAGAGCATAATTACCCTTTCTTAAATTTATTTTCAGAGGTGCCATCAACTTAGTGGCTCAGCTTTGGCCAGTAGTAGTTCCTTGCAGATCCAGCTAGAACCAGCGCTGTCCAGCTGTCCACCACATCTCTACTCACTGAGGCTATCCCTGGAACCCCCCACCACCAAAACCTTGCCATGTAAAGCCAGTATATGTGAATGACATTAAGGATCATATTTACATAAGAACATAGTAATTAGCATGAATTCAGATCAGAGGTTCAGATGACTATTCATGGAAAGCTGTAGGAACATCATAGAATATAGGACATTAGATTCTCTACAGCAACCTTTTAGTCTCAAATAGTTGAGACACGAAACACAAAATTTGAGATATAATCCAAAAGCGTTAATCCTTTAAACTGGAAACCAAGTGGTATAATTTTTTCTGTGAGAAAGTATTGCAGTCTAGTTACACACTGTGTGAAAAAGCACTTCTGTTAATCAGTGAATCAGCCTCTTTAATTGTATAACCTCCTGTTCTTGTATTATGAAAAAAGTTATAGGCACTCTTCATCTATATTAAAGCTATTCATTCTTTTTAGATTCTTGGTCGACCTTGAAGATAAAGATTTTTTTCAGTCTCTATTCTGCCTGAATTTAACTGTTTGTCTTCTTATGACATTTTCACAGCCTTTAACTACCGCATTTGTCCAACTAGTTAAAGTTCCCTGGGCCAAGAATGGATTTTGTTTGAAAGTCACTAATTTGTAGGTATTAGTCACAGTTGTGAATGCCCAAAATTTTCAGTCGGCCTTCATGAAACAAGGAACACAGATAGCAGCCACCTGTAAACTCTTGTCCAAGTGATTTGCCTGACATTTCCCAAGAACTCCATAGAAGAGGCAGGAATGAATCCAGCTTTCCATAACAAAATTCAACTCACAAAAATACTTCCTTTCTATAATGCCTCATCTGGTCCTCCCCTACATACAACAGCCTCCTTCCCTATACACCCTTGACAAGGCAGAGTACAACAAAGATAATATGTGGCTATGTAATTTCACAGTGCACATACTCAAAGAGGGCTGAATTAGGTTTCTCTGTGCTATCTAGTTCTGGCGCATCCCAACTCCCGAGTACTCAACCCGACAACCTTCCTGTTCTGAACAGCTTCTTGAATGCAGTAACATTTTTCACATCTCACCATCAACAAACACAGTAGCAGCAAAAACAAGCATGATTATCTATAGTGATACCCCACAACCTTTCCCAAGTTGATAAAACTGAACTAGACAATAAGGTACACAAAAAGTTAAGTTTCTCCATATTGCTTTTCCTCTTAACATAAGTTAATTTCACTCATCTTGTGTCACTCATTATTGAGAATTAGCTCTTTCTAAAGTTTCTTGGAAGACCTTTTAGTCACCCCAGCTCAAATAACTGTCTTATTTGCAAACATTTCTATCCCACTATTCCCTTCCCTCACATCCTCCACTCGGGATAATTTCTCAAGTTCTATACCTTTTCCACTTCTGAAGGTATTCAGCAGTCAATGGCAAAAGGTCAATGGTTGAATTTACTCTCTTCCTGTCTTCCAAGCAACTTCTGATTGCAATGTGACTTTATTTCTCACCACAAAGCAAAGAAAATCACCAATAGACCCTCATGAAAAGTAAGATTATACCTCCATCAGATACTTATTTAAGAGCCCTGAGACATTGGAATTCCAAGTTCTCCAGCATTTATCTTCCCAAATACATCCTTCCCCATTGCAAAACTGATTCTGGCAAAACCAAGCCATTTTGACAAAAAACACAGAGCAGTGATACAATTTATTAACATGTTTGAAGCTCACTTTTCTCCTATACCTTATCCTTGCAAGAACAATTTCCATCATCTTACAGACTGAGAATTCTCAGCCAACCACAGACCCTATACCAAGGCAACTTATATCTACTTTATAACTAATATAAAATTAACATGTTAAATGGGGAAAAAAGAAAACCATCAAGAAAACTCAAGACAAACCAGGTTCCTATAAAACCTATCACAAAAGTACAACTGTTGCTGCAGCTTTATCTTTTCAATTTTGATGATGTTTTTCCTTCTTTATATAGAAAGATATTTATGTCAACAACGTAACATTACCATCAACAGTTTATTAGAAGATAAATATTTTAATTTTTAAAAATATGCAACTTCAAAGAACACCGATGTACCCATTTCCAATTTTTAACAAAACCATGTTTAACATTATTTCCATACTTATTTCTGCTGATAAGACTGAGAAAAACATTATTCCCCATACTACAAACAAAACCTAACATACACTAGAAAAACCTCAAAACATAATCTCTATCAATCAGGAACACATTTTTAAAAACTGTTTTGATAATTCTCTTTTAATAAAACATCACAATACATCGTACCACTTTCGTGGCTTTAACCAGTGTGATCTAACAAGTCCACATCCTACTACCCTGCTTTAAATCACCTTTAAATCTCCCTGCACACCACCAAAAACAAACAACAAACACACACACAACACAATCAGAAAAGAACCAAGAGAATTTGGTACCTTTACTAGAAAAAAGGGTTAGTAGATTCAGGCAAGTCTGGTCTTAGATAGGCAAGCATACACACTAACAAAATGCTCTAGCTATAACACTGAATAGTCATCATACCAACCCTCCATCTAGAAGTCAGTATTACTCCCAAAATTTGAAGTCTTCTAGCACATTGCTTTCAAAACATCAAGATTAAATAAAGATATCTCAATTCCTTTTAAAAAGATTATTCTCACAGCTCTAGGAGAATCAAAATTATGTATGGAGACAGGTGCTAAATTTAGTTCCTATCAGAGCAAAAAATTATCCTTTCAAGACACAAGGCAGAACTTCTACATAATATTTTATATTAGTGCAATTACCTGTAAAAACGAGTAGAAGACCAAGTAAATTTATTTACAAATATCACACATAACTTCTCTCTACATAAATTCCCTTTCCTTTTTCTCTCCATTCTTCTCACTTTTTTTATTAATCCTTAACTATCCACTTTATATACCCATAGCAAAGAAAAACCCACAAAAAAAAATGAACAAGGACAAACACATAAAATAATTCGATGATGACCTCTCTACCAAAGCTGCTACTACATCGGCATGTTTCCTCTTTTTAAGTACAAAATTTAAAAAGAATATATTACTTCTCAACCTGCCAAAGCTACCAAAATACAAACTACACCTGAACACGGCCACAAAGGCTGCATAAACTCCTTCTCCCAGTCCCAACACCACAGCCAATTACCTGCATAAGTTCCTTCTACATCTGCTGTGCAAGCCCCCCCCCTTAATTATACCCAAGTAGACCACAACCCAATCTACTTTTCCTGGATGCCAGGCCACCCTCCTTGCATCATCTCCCCTCAAGTGCTGCTGTCCTGGAGCCTCATGCCCCACAGTCCCTTTTCCTCCTCCTCCTCTATACCCTAAGAAACCTGAGGATACTTCCCCTCACAGAGAGCGTATCATGCCAAGCCTGCCTCCTCTTCTCCTGCACTCCTCCCTTCACATCATGCCATTCATAACTCCCAGGGCACATCAGCAAGCCACCCTGACACTCCCCCACACATACACACACCCCTTACACCTTCCTCCTTTCCCCAAAACAGATTCCTTCAGGCCCACCTCTCAGGTTCATCTTTCAAACAGTGAAACAAAAGTAAGAGAAGTGAAAATAAACAGCTCTCCTGTCTCCTACCCTCTATTATCTACCTCGGACACACTCCTTGACTAGGACGAGGCAAGGCCCGAGTTGCAGGCTAGTGAGGAGTGGCAGAGACCAGGCCCACTTCAAACTGCAGCAGGCCCTTCAACCTCAGCAAGCACAGGCCTGGCGTGCGTTCTTAGTAGCGACAGAAAAGGGACTCAGAGCCTATATATAAAGTACATGGCCACCGCCTCCCCTCCCGCAACACTGCAAAGCAAGGCTTGGCCGCCGCCTTCCTCCTCCCACCATGGCCACTTTTCGCGACCGACTCCACAGGCCCCGCTCTCAGCGACGGTGCCGCCATATTGACCCACCTCACACAGCGGCAAGAGAGGCCGTACAGGGCTCAAGGACATCTCTCCCCCCCCCGCTCCCTCTCCCCGCGCTCTTGGGTCTCTCACCTTCATGTCGGGACATCCTAATCTTGAGGCTGCTGCCCAGGCCTGTCCCTAGGCTCCCGCTGGGCTGCTCGGGCGTCGCTTCAGCCTAGGTCCCTCCAGCCTTACGCGCTGACCCCCAAGCACGAAGTGAATAAGCAACAAAAAGGGGAAAGAAATGGAAGGGGGGGGGGTGTTGTGAAGCAGAGGTATTTGTTTCAAGGGCCCCAGCCAGCCGGCCAGCCAACCGGCCGGCCAGCAGGCCTGCCTGCCTGCCTGTCTGTCTGTTTCTCTGTCTGTCTGTCTCGTTCTGTCTGTCTGTCTGTCTGTCTCGTTCTGTCTGTCTCTGTCTCTGTCTCTCTCTCTCCCCCTCCCTCCCTCAGGGGGGCGGATCCACCAGCAGTGACTTCCCAGGCGCCACGAATAGTGAATCTTAGGCCTCTCTTCCTCTTCCGCCGCCTTAATCTACATCCCGCTTCCCGAGTTCCCACCTCTATTCCCTCTTCTATTGTTACTATAAAAATACTGACTCCTTCTTGTACCACTTAGCTCTTTCCTGTCCTAAGATCAAGGTCTCCCAGTTTCTTTCCTTCTCCACCTGTTTGAGTTTTTTAATTCTTTCTCTATTTTTTTTCTTCATTCCTTCTCTGACCAATAGCCACTGCTACTGCAAACAGGAAGGAAGACGAAATACACAGCCAATGGAAAGGAGGATCGGCACCACCCAGCACAGGGAAAGCCACGGAGTTGAGCGTAGTTTACATGTAACTGCATGGGTCTCTCCCTTTCTTCCTCCAAACTAGGAGAGACTGCTGTCTCCAGGCATTCACTAGAGACACAGCCTTCTTCATAATTTTGGCTTCTGACAATTGCCCGTGTGCCGCGGGAGGGAGAAGAGTCCCCCCGCTCACCCCTGTTGTAGAACACACCGCTGTATTGGTGAGGCTGCGCCTCTGCAGGTGCACGGAGATCTTCCTCGTCCCCTAGTAAGGACACCAGAGAGCGAGGAATGGCAGCAACCCGACAGCAGCCCTGCGGAAGGGGACAAGCTCAGCGAGGTGGTTCATGGTACTTCCCATTCCCTCTCCTTTCCAGTGTGGCTTGCAAAACCCTCTCTGTAATTTGGGGAGGTGTAGCGAGCAGTGACACATGCCCTGATATTAGCTGCCTGACTCCTGAAACGCTGAGGGTGCTCAGGTAACTTCTCAATCAGCTGAGAAAGGTAAATGCCAGCCTGCCTGCAACAGGTGCCGTATTGCACGTGTGTGGGTTTTACCTAGTCTTGATAATCTTCAGTGTTTCTGCTTAGGCTGGAAGTGCTGAAAGGTGGAGAGGGTGACCTGGTGGCCACAGTAACGTACTGATTTGTCATAGGCGAACTAAGCCATTTTAGTGGGATATTCCCATACTTTTCTGTGCATTTTTTTCCATTCTGCCTCTTACTAGTGGTAGGCTACAAAGGATAGGGATGTGTGTTTCAGAATGAGGAGAGGGAGCTCCAAACCTTGCACAACTCCTGACTGCTGCAGGAGCTTTCCCATAAGAGGTTTAAGATAACAGCATGCCTGATTACTGTGACAGTGAAGTGAGAGCCTCAGAGTTGGGAAGGGGGGAGGCAGAACCTCATAAAGAATGATGAAAAGGCAAAAAGTTTGTGACTTGCATAATTTTATTTGCTTTTCCTCCAACTTTTTGTCTTTTGCGAAAAGACATTAGTCTAGAGAAGAAATTGTAAAGGTAAAATGGGATGAGTGGCTGGAAAGCTGCACTGTGGAAAAGGACCTGGGGTTGTCAGTTGACAGCCAGCTGAACATGAGCCAGCAGTGTGCCCAGGTAGCCAACAAGGCCAATGGCATCCTGGCTTGTATCAGGAACAGTGTGGCCAGCAGGACCAGGGAAGTGATTGTCCCTCTGTAATTGGCACTGGTGAGGCCACACCTCGAGTGCTGTGTCCATTTCTGGGCCTCCCACTACAAGAAAGACACAGGTACTGGAGCGGGTCCAGAGAAGGGCAACGAAGCTGATGAAGGGTCTGGAGCACAAGTCTTATGAGGAGCGGCTGAGGGAGCTGGGATTGTTTAGTCTGGAGAAAAGGAGGCTCAGGGGAGACCTTATTGCCCTCTGTAACTACCTGAAAGGAGGCTGTAGTGAGCTGGAGGTTGATCTCTTCTCCCAGGTAACAAATGACAGGATGAGAGGAAAAGGCCTCAAGTTGCGCTGGGGAGGTTTAGATTAGATATTAGGGAAAAAAATTTCACAGAAAGGGTTGTAAAGCATTGGAACAGATTGCTCAGGGAAGTGGTTGAGTCACAAACCCTGGAAGTTTTCAAAAGACGTGGATATGTCAACTTGAGGTCATGTTTTAGTGGTGAACATGGTGGTGGTGCTAGGTTGACAGTTGGACTTGATATTCTTAGAGGTCTTTTCCAACCTTAATGATTCTATGATTCTAAAACACCTATCATGGGAGGGGAGAGGGAGATGAGGGGAGGGGGAAGAATGGATCAGATGGGGGAGGGGTGGTTGGAGAAGGAAAAGAAGGTGGGGAGAAGGCTAAGAGGAAGAGGGAGATGGGGAAAATGTGGAGGAGGAATTGGAAGGTGGGCAGGAAGTGAGAGAGGTATGGGGGGAAGAAGGGAGAGAAGGTAAGGGGGGAGGGAGAGGGGAGGAGGCACAGGGGTGGGGGGTTGAAGGGAAGGGGAAGAGGGGAAAGTAGAGAGAGGGGATTGTGGTGAAGAGGGGAGGGGTAAAGGGGAGGGAGTGTGGGGAGGTGGAAAGAGGGAGGGGTGGGGGAGAGGACAGAAGGAGATTGGGGGGGATAGGAATTTAGGAATAGAGAGGGAAGAGGGTGTTTTGCACCAGGAGATGCTGGTTCATGATGATGCCGGTAAGAAAGGCACTTAGACTCTGTAATGTATCACTTAAAATGCTATTTATTAGAGCTAAAACTGTAAAGAGGGAGAGGATAGTATAGATAATGTTATGTCCCTTCAGATGCTGGGAACCCTGAGTTGTGCAGCATTGAATGGGCCTCTGATCAGGGTGCAGCACACTGTGCAAACCCTGCCTGTAGAAAGGGTTACCCCATTTTGGTCATTTAAGCTCTTTATAGGGTTTTCTTATGAGAAAAAAAGTCTGTTCGTTTCTACTGTCAAAGGGAAAGGATATTTGCATGAGAACTCACTGCTTTACTTTTAGGCCATGGCAAGAAAATGCAGGGAATGTAATCACTGGTACCAGGTGGGAGCTACCTGCAGGCTCCCCTGTTACAATAAGCTGACTGTGGCTAAGGGATGTGTGCAGCACAATGCAGGCCTGGGCTTACTTAGGTTAATTGTTGTGTGGATCACTAACCCTAGATGTACAATTATCTTCTAGTTAGGATCACTACATCACCATGCATGCATTCTTTGAAAGTTGGCATTTTGTTCTTGGTTTTCCATTTTAGTGGACAGTGTTGCATGTGTCTTGCAGCACAGCACAAAGCCCAAAGGCTGCCCTGGTAATACTACATGGTTGTCGTGGTTTAACCCCAGCCAGCAACTAAGCAGCACACAGCTGATCGCTCACTCCCCCACAGCAGGGTCGGGGGAGAGAATAAGAAGGGTAAAAGTGAGAAAACTTGTGGGTTGAGATAAAAACAGTTTAATAATTGAAAAAAAAAGTAATTAAAATGAAAATAACAAAGAGAGAGAGAAATAAAACCCAAGAAAGACAAGTGATACAAATGAAAACAATTACCACCAACTGATCGATGTCCAGCCAGTCCCTGATCAGTGGTCCCCGCCCCCCCCCCCCCCCCCTTCCTCCTAGTTTTAGTGCTGAGCATGATGTCATATGGTCGGGAATATCCCTTTGGTCAGTTGGGGTCAGCTGTCCCAACTGTGTTCCCTCCCAACTTCTTATGCTCCTACAGTGTACTTGAGGGTGGGGCACTGTGAGAAGCAGAAAAGGCCTTGACATTGTGTAAGCCCTGCTTAGCAATTACTAAAAAATCCCCATGTTATCAACACCGTTTCCAGCACAAATCCAAAACATAGCCCCACAATAGCTACTATGAAGAAAATTAACTCTATCCCAGCTGTGTGAGTCATCACAGGAAGGGAGCTGGGACAACCACAAATACATGACTAAAACACAAAGAGTAAATTTTTTCCTGTTACCTTGCCGAGGGATCCCCAAAGCAATGTCCAGGCAGAGGCACACAAGTAGAGATGCAGACACCATTACACTCAGTCCATGCTAGAGGATCACTGGCTTGCTGTTGACACTGGTTTATCAAGGGTTATTCCCACCTGCAAGGTCACTTGAGCAATTTACAGTCCTCCTTACCAGTCTTCCACTTTAAACCCATTCCTCCCAACATTCCACCCCCTCGCTCAAGAGACCACTGCTACTGAGGCTGGAAATGTGGGATAGGGAATTTACAGAGGCACTTAATAAAGCATATGGAAAAAAGAATAAGCATCTAATGCTCTAAGTGTCCCAACCTTCTTGTCAGGGAATTAAAGCACTCAGTTAGCCAGGTACCATTGGTAGGTTGTGTGATTCGATGTGTTAAGTCCTGAAGATGCTGAATATCGTCCTCCATGCTAACTGATTCAGCAGTCACGGCGAAGCAGCCTTCAAACTCAGAAAAGCATTTGTGATGTTGAAGAGGGAGATAGTTCATCAGTAATCAATGTTGTAAGGTTCCTTTGTGTACAGCAGTTGCTACCAAAAGTTAAGGCAACAATTGCCTTGGATATCCAAGTTAAACCTTGCACAAGGGCACATGCCAGGTGCTCTACAGTCACTACTCAGAAAGAATAAGTTAGTTACAGTAGAAAACAACCCCACACAGGTTGATCTTGCAGAAACATATCCAAGGTATGTGCTCATAGTAAGTACAAGCCTACAAAGCACAACAAGCCAACCTGTGATAAGGGAGGAAAATAGGAATGTCATCTCCTTCCAGTAATACATCCGCTACTCCTTCAGCTAATATTATTCTAGACTTGGGAACTTGAGATGGGGTAATTGCCCACACAGATTGAAGGGCTGTGGCTTGTGCTTTTTCAGATCAAACTTCAATTCGATGTTGGGTTTGTGTCGAAGATACCTGAAGTACAAGAACTC